CTGACTCACAGCCGCTCAGACCTGACTCCCTGACTCACAGCCGCTCAGACCTGACTCCCTGACTCACAGCCGCTCAGACCTGACTCCCTGACTCACAGCTGCTCAGACCTGACTCCCTGACTCACAGCCGCTCAGACCTGACTCCCTGACTCACAGCCACCCAGACCTGACTCCCTGCCTCACAGCCGCTCAGACCTGACTCCCTGACTCACAGCCGCTCAGACCTGACTCCCTGACTCACAGCCACCCTGACCTGACTCCCTGACTCACAGCCACCCTGACCTGACTCCCTGACTCACAGCCGCTCATACCTGACCTTGCACTACGTCGCTACTGCCCAAGTAAGGTCCGACATAAATTGTCGGACTTTGCTAGAAATTGTCAGAAATTTATAAATTGTCGGAAAGCCACATCTAGGTACGCCAGATGTGGCTTTTGGTATACACACGAGATAAAATGAACACGGATACTAGTGAACAATGTCCACCATTCACATCTATATAATATTTACCCAATACAAATTATATATTTATCTATCTACCTCAATATTAATGCTTGCCTGCAGAGGTCGTGATCAATTAAATGTCCTTTTTTATATTGGACAAAAGCCGGAATTTCATCTAATATGTATATTTCATTAGCAAATTTATCTACTACTAGCTTATAATTATAAGTGATTACAATGTGGACTTATCTAAATTAATAGCTAAATTTTAATAGCTAAATTTTAATAGCTAAATAGCTGAATTTTTAAATGTTAATACCTAGCTAAATTATCTAGCTAATAGCTGAATTTTATTAGATAATTAGCTCAATTTTTAAATCTTAATACCTAGTCAAATTATCTAGCTAATAACTGAATTTTTCAACTTGAATGTATGAGAATCGATAATAATAAATTATTTCAACATTAAACATTACAATATTTTATATGTGGATAAGAAATCTTAATAAAGTGACGGAAATTACATTACCTAACATTAATATATTGAATTTAAAAAATTAAAAATTGAATAATTAATTAATAATAAATAAATTACAAGTAAATGAATAATAATGTTAAGTATTACCTGGGTGGTGGGGTGGCCCCCCATGGTGAGGGGGTTACTAGTGGGGGGCATGAACCCCACGCTGGGGGGCAGGGAGGCGGGGGGCGGCAGCGCTGAGCCCGGGGCAAAACCTGCATGAAAAATACACGTTAATATTTTTTTTAAATACGAAAATGCATGAAGCAAATCAATTTATAAAAACAATTTACAATAAATTTACAATAAAAACAATAATTTACAAAAAAACCTGCACGAAAAATACATGTTAACATTTTTTTAATACCGAAATGCATGAAGCAAATCAATTTATAAAAAAAATTTACAATAAAAACATTAATTTACAACAAAAAATCAGTACGAAAAATACATGTTAATATTTTTAAATACGGAAATGCATGCAAAATCAATTTATAACCACATTCCAAAATAATTCACAACAAATTTATAATCCCAATGATTCTAAAAACACATGTTAATATTTTTCTCAATACGGAAAAACATAAAGCAAATCAATTTCTAAACACATTGATTCTAAAATAACTCACAACAAAAACACATTAGGAATTACTCAAACGAAAATAAAATATAGAAATCAATTAAAAAACCAATTAATTCGCAAATAATTCAGTGAGAACACGTATTACGTTTCATTTAATATAGAAATGCATGCAACAAATCAATTTAAAATCCCGTTCATTCGAGAATAATTTACCTACATCAAAAACATTTTTTTATCTTCCTTGAAAAGCAATAGATACTGAAAAAATTAACTTAACTTGAACGTTGAAAACATTGAAAAATGCCTGACAAACACTAAATACAATAATTAAAGTTGATGTATAAATAAAAATAGCATTCCCCTACAAATAAATTTTGTATAAATAATGTATTCCTGTCACAAAATGTGAGTTAAAAGAGGTAAACGTGAGTTATATAACAGAGGTACAATTGGTAGTCAATAAACAGAGATAATTGTAAGTTAAATAACAGAGATAACCGAGACTTACCGGTACATACTGAATAATTTCAAGTTGGACGACCGAGATAATTGTGAGTTAATAGCAGAGATATTTTAGAGTCTAATAACAGAAATAATTTAGAGTCTAGTAACAGAGATTACATAGAGTCTAATAACAAAGATAACTTAGTCTAATAACAGAGATAATTTAGAGTCTAATAACAGAGATAATTTAGGGTCTAATAACAGAGATAATTTAGAGTCTAATAACAGAGACAATTTGAGTCTAATAGATATATAGAGTCTAATAACAGAGATAATTTAGAGTCTAATAACAGAGATAATTTAGAGTCCAATAACAGAGATAATTTAGAGTCCAATAACAGAGATAATTTAGAGCCTAATAACAGAGATAATTTAGAGTCTAATAACAGAGATAACTTGGAGTCTAATAACAGAGATAATTTAGAGTCTAATAACAGTTATAATTTAGAGTCTAATAACAGGGATAATTTAGAGTCTAATAACAGCAACAATTTAGAGTCTAATAACAGGGATAATTTAGAATCTAATAACAGAGATAATTTAGAGTCTAATAACAGAGATAACTTAGAGTTTAATAACAGAGATAATTTAGAGCCTAATAACAGCGATAATTTAGAATCTAATAACAGTGATTATTATGAGTTACATAGCAGAGATAATTTAGAGTCTAATAAGAGAGATAACAGAGACTTACATAATAATTGTAAGTTGCACGACCAAGATAATTGCGAGTTTTTGCAGAGATAATTGTGATTTTTACAAGAGAGATAATACAGAGTCTAATAACAGATAATTTAAAGACTAACAAAAAATATAATTAAGAGACGCACTGTAATTAACAGTAGCAGTTGGGTAAGAGAACGGAGTGGCAGCTGGCGAATTATATGCTGCCGCTGGCAAGCCTTGGCTGACAGGAAGTGGTGCTTGACTGGTTGCTGCTAAGCCTTGGCTGACGGGTGGTAGAGCTTGACTGGTTGCTGCTAAGCCTTGGCTGATCGGTGGTAGAGCTTGACTGATCGGTGCAAAGCCTTGGCTGATGGGAGGCAATCCACTTGTTGTGAATGCTTGGCTGACAGAAGATGGTATGCCTTGGCTGACAGCAGATGGCATGGCTTGACTAACAGCAGACGGCAAGCCTTGGCTGACAAGAGATGGTGCAGCACCGACTGGTCCACCAGCAAGGTTCTGTTCAAACATGTTCAATTTTTACAACACGTCTCTTTAACTTCACTTCTTGTTTTTCTGTCTGTCTGCTACAAATCCTATAATCAATATTTAACACACTTTTACTCGTCGTATTGATCTGAAATTTTGCACACTTGCGTAAAGTTGCAGACAATGCATGAATCAATTGACAGAATAAATAATTTTGAAAACGTACAAAATTTTTATATATAAAAAAAATTTGAAAATTATTTTTTAAATCTTTGAAAATAAAATTAGAAATTCATTGTACATGTGTAACATCAAAGACACTGGATTCTTTAGAAGTGTTGTCTCTAAAAAGTAATTATTAAACGCATATTATTATATATTCTATTTCACAATTCATCTTAGGTCAATCATGACACTAACAATTGTATCTCAGAATTAGCATTTTCCATTGCATTTATTTAGATATGCTATGTAAAGAGGGAACAAAATATTGGCTCGAATTATTAGATTAAAAGAGAAATGATTTCTATCATGAACTGTAACATTTTCAAGCATTCGAAGTAAAATAAATCTACATTTAATTGAAAATTGAATACAAATCCAATAGTTCATACGTCAAATTTAATTGAAATATTTAATTATCAACTAAAACGTACAGTACCCTATAGGTACTAAATTTTTCAACAACAGAAAATATATATAATAACCTTGCATTTACTTGGCTATAAAATTGTTATTCTCATTTAACAACAGATACTATACATAATAACCTCGCATTAGTTTGACTATAAAATTTTGTTTTTCTCCTCAAGATTCTTATTTAGCGGTAAGAAAATACTCAAACAAACGCACAGTTTACAGTAGGTATTGGATTCTCTAACAACAGATACTATACATAATAACCTTGCATTAGTTTGACTATAAAATTTTGTTTTTCACCGCAAAATTATTATTTAGCGGCAAGAAAAACAATAATAATAATAATAAATAATAAAAATTATCAAACAAACGCACAGTTTGCAGGAGTCCAGCACTCGCCGCCTGTATGGTGTGGGCCGCTGTGGTGGGGTCCAGCGGTGTGGTGGTGGTGGTGCAGGTGGTGGGTGTGGTGGTTGTGGTGTCCTCAGGGCGCAGTGGGATGCGGTGCAAGTAACCATAACCAATACCACAACCAAGGCTGTAAGCAATAACATAAGAAAATTTATTATCAATATGAGATAATTGAGGAAAAATTCATGAATACAGTTTGCCACACATTAATTAAACTTAAATTGATGCCACTCATTAGTGTGACATTAAATTGTCTTTATAACTTAATTGACAAAACCAGCGATTACATAACCAATTCCTGACGCTGTTAAATAAAAAAAACTGCCATTAAAAAGACTAGCTATATGCACCCCTCAACACCAGCTATATGCTGCCCTCAACACCAGCTATATGCACCCCTCAACACCAGCTATATGCTGCCCTCAACACCAGCTATATGCTGCCCTCAATGCACCCCTCAACACCAGCTATATGCTGCCCTCAACACCAGCTATATGCAACCCATATACTACATACTGTATACGCAGCGCTTAATCTACATATACAGTATGCTACCCTTTTACACAGCCCTCAAACTAAATATATGCTACCTTTTTACGCAGTCCTTATACTACATATACTATGCAACCCTTATACTACATATATGCTCCCTTTATACTCCATGTCTCACTTAATAATTACAGTTGAAGTTACCTTCCTTCACCACCCCACTTGGAGTCTGGGGTAACAGTCACCTCCCGGCACACGTCCGAGTCAATGTTATACACGTACAGCTTCAGAGGCCTGAAAACAACACAAAATCAATACATTCATCAAGGATGTGGGCCAAACCAAAACATTTCAACATAGCTCAATGAATTGTGGGCCAAATAAAAACATTTTCAACATGTCTTGATGGGTTGTGGGCCAAACCAAAACATTTTCAACATATTTCTAATTTTGCTGCTGAAATATGATGCTTTCTAACATCATGACGATAGTGTAAAGACTGTAGCCTGCCATTAAATATGATAGCATAAAGGCTATTGTCGTGGGCCAAATTAAAAAAATTCCAACATATTTCTAATTTTGCTGATGAAATACAATGCCTTCTAGCAACATCATGACACTAGTGTAAAGACTGTAGCCTGCCATTAAATATGATAGCATGAGGGTTCTTGCTGCTGCTAATAAGACCTTTTATCATGAGCTTCAATGAGAGAGAAGAGGTCCTCGCTCTCGTGCAGCACAGAGTCTGCCCCGATGATGTAGTCCTTGAACGCCACCAGCCCTGCGATGGCCGCAGGAGAGTTGCCCTCCACTTCCTGGTCAATACAATAATATCATTTGAAAAATATTCATCCAATTGTATCAATTCAATAATACCAATTCAATTATAACCAGTCAATAATATCTTTTCAATTATATATATACGGTATCCATAGAATCAATTCAATTATTTCCATTGAATAATATTCATTCTATTGCTTCCCTACAATAACATCAATTCAAACATATCCATTCAATAATATCTTTTCAATTATATCCACTCAATTGCATCCACAGAATAATATCATTTCAATTGTATTAGTTAAATTATATAAATTCAATTTTCTTAATTCATCTATCAATCAAATTATTATCACTGATGCAATAAAACAAAAGATCAATTGAAACAAAAAAATTATCAATGAAACAGTTGATCACACTAGATACATTCATGTTAATTTCTTCATTGTTAAATGAAAATTTTTCAAGTCATTCATAGAATTGATCAAAAAGAAGTAAAATTTTCAAATTTGCAATTTTTCACAATAAAATGATGACATATAAGTTGTAAGCTACTTTTAAACAAGCAGGTTTGCATCAGTTAGAATATTTTCACAGGATCCTATATTACACAATAGCAAGATATACTACCTATAACATTAAAAAAGTTGAAAATTTTAATACCTACCGGTACTGTAGTCATTCCGGAGTATATATGTACTTATATACTGGTACTCCAGATAAAAAAATTCACATAAGATGGGGTTATGCAGCTCATTTATAAAATAAATAATAAAAATGGTTGTAATGAGATCTAATCTCAGAGAATAAGAGTTGCTAGCATACTGCATTGTAAATTGTGTAAAAGATAGTACATTAATAACTCAAGTTAAACCTCAAAACTCACAAGAATATGCCAGACATTCTCATTTGCTCCCTCAAAAGAGCAGAAGCGGATGGAGACTCCAAGAAGGCCTTGTCCGCCCCACAGCTTAGATGGAGTGATGTTGATGGAGCGAACGCGCTGGGTTTTGCTGGAGTAAACCTTCATCTCCACGGACTTTTCCAGGTTCTTGTTCAGTAGCTCCTTGAGTGTGTCGTTGTCTTGATCCTACAACCAAACCAGAAGGTTAGCGTCACGTAATTTTCCAAGAGACACTCTAAAAAATATATATATATATACTTTTTTACTTATTTTTAGTAAGCATTCAGTGGTGTAATTCTAAGACATAATAAATACTTTCCAAATCAAAATTAAGCTATAAAATTTTGACATAGAAAATTAACTAAAGTTATTCATTTTTAGCGCATTTTGTCATTTATGAAAAAATGCACTATTGAGCTTGCCATGTCTGTCTGTCCGTCTGTCTGTTCCTCCGTGACTTCACTTTTTTGTCAACAAGAAATGCGTTCTCTGTCACTTACGGCAGTGAGTACTGAGTTATATTTTTTTGTAAATTGTTCAGAATCTTTCATAATATTCACATATAGCAAGTTCAACAGGTAACATACAAGTTAAAATTTGTTGATGACATTTGACAATCAAAATAATTTTAATATTTCAAAATAATCAAATAAAATATTTCTTACCAAGCGAGTGTTTCCAATGGCTACGATGAAGTCAAAGAAGGCCTCTAGTCCTGCAAGCTGTCCAGGAGATGCATTCTGGACCTGAAAAATCTTGTTCTTAACAAAAATTCCCAATTTTAAACATTGTTTTATTGGAATGCATTAGAAAAAATTCTGACTTGCACTAGGTATAGGAATGTATTCATCAGTCATTAATTGACTTAGGTAAAATCTAAATTTATGCCTTAAGATTTAATTTAAGGCCAGGCATGGATTGTGTTAAGACACATATGTGCTACTCTTATTCTCTTAATGTTTGAATATATATTTTTGATCCTGAGAAGCTCCTTGGCTTCCAGACAGGCAACTACCAACCAGTTTTAGCCTCCTTGGGCTGTTTTCTGTTTCAGATTTCTGTTTTTAATTTCTAACATTTTTTGTTTTGAATTTTTAAACATACCTAAGAATATAAGGTAGATGTTATTTGCATGCTTTATTCAACAAAGCAATTCATGAACATATCTTGCAAAAACTCTTGAACGCTAAGGTAGGATGGCAAAAAGTTTTTTATTAACAGACAACAATTTGGGCTTCAAAACATTGTATGGCAAATAGGCATTGCCATTATGGTGAATACTTTCTCAAAATTATTACAGTTGAAGTTGAAAATTTACCTATCATTCATCTATCATACGGGCATTCATACCTATAATAAATGCATCAAAGAACCCACCCGCATCTAGTATGGAATATATCTACTTGGCGAGCCGCGACTGAATTTTTCGAGCCGTGGTTTTATGGATTTGCCAGCCGTGATTCCATTTCTACGAGTTCCCATGCAAGATTGTTAATTGCGCGCGTTACTCACAGTCTCACAGATGAGCAAGAGGGATGGATCTACAGAAGGAAATACTATTTACTCGCAAGTCGCAACCTAATAGTTTCGAATTAAATATAAAAAAACATTTATGGCACCTATTCGTTACCTCAGCTTTCAAATTGAGGAGAGACTCATCGGCAGTTGGAGAAACTTCTCGAAGAAAAGGCAATGCACAACAAACATGACACTTCACAGTTGACTGACTAGAATAGACTCGATAGTCAATAGAGTACTCGAAAGTCAAAAGTTTAGCATTCAAACCTTTAGATTCTGTGAACCTTGTGATTTCTTCATTATTAAAACTTTAGAAGGCTCACAATATATCATGTAAAGTTTTCACTCAATTATCGTCTCGAAGTTCGGGAGCTTTATCTGCAGTAATGTTCTGTAACTACCACACCCACCGGCCACCGTCAACTAACCACTAACCATCATTACTAGATTCCCGCCAGTGCCGCCACTGTTGCACACGATTGATTCTGCATGCATGTATAATATTTACGAAGGTTATTAAACCATTCTGATTTCCGTTGAATGTCAGTTACTGATAAATTTTTAATATAGAAGAATTCGTATCTTTCATTTTTTTCACATGACTATATTGATGTCGGTTTCACATTGGTTGCCGGTGCGGTTGGTATCCCTGCTACCTTCTTTGTTTACGTTTTTTGTTCGGCTGATTGCAACGAAAGGAGATTCGGTGGTCAGTTTTGTATTTGTGGATTGAATCATAGGCAGTTTTTCATGTATTTGTGAGTGAGTGTGCATAGTGAAGATGTTATTCTTTGCGATTTCCATCAATAATGACATAACTACACTATTGTATTATGCTCTTGAAATAAGAATTGTAGCATTACGCATTAAGTTAGCATCAGTGCGTTAACATTGTGTGCATTTGAGGCGGTCCCTTCTAGCTTTCTATCGCTGATTGGATTCCAGTGGCTGTGACGTTGCACACGTTCTAGCGATGATTGGATCCTTGTGACTGTTACGTTGGACGCGTTCAAGCGTTGATTGGATTCTTGTGACTGTTACGTTGGACGCATTCAAGCGTTGATTGGATTCTTGTTACCGTGATGATGCAAGCGCTGTTTTTTTTCAATGAAACAGCTGTGGGATCTTGCAGAGACTCATCAGTGATGACGATGGACTGAAAGTGGAAGTGTGCTGGACGTTCCAGATTTTTGGGTCCTGCTTTCTGATTTGCTATGTTTACCAGTTAATATATTACCCCTCTGGAATTCCACACTGCCTACTGAAATTATATGATATTAGAGCCGCGATATTTCAGACAAAAATAGGACTTTTCCAGACTAGACCCACATCATTAATTTATCATTCATTTATTATTATTTCATTTATCAGTCATTCATCATTTGTTCAACATTCATTTATCATTCATTAGGTATTCACTCATTCATCATAGATTTATCATTTTTTATTTATTTGTAATTTATTTATCATTTATATATCATTTATTTATCTAACTGGATTTTATTCTGTTCAATTCTGCCTTCTGATGAATTTATACCATTCATATCTAGGTATCTACTATGACTATCAGTTGCACCCGTTTCTCCCACCCACCTGCAATCAAAGTCTCAACCATAATGTATTATTTTAGTTAGAATAGATAGCCCATACCCATAGTACAACAAGAGCTCTCTAATGATACTAAAATCTTTAAAATTGGTTAATAGAAAACCTAGAAATTATAGTTTTCCCCAAAAAAGTTAAAAAAAAAAGGTTTTTTCACTTTTTCTTGGGGAAAAGTATAGTTCCTTCCCCCCCCCCTCCCAAAAAAAAGGCTAGGTGTCAATTGACACTTGGACACTTTTTATTGCTAGGCAAGTTAGCAAATAGCTCTTAACTCATAACTTAATATTTGTAATAATCATCCAGCATCCTTTTCAATAATGAGAACAGTCTAGGTATTAAATAAAATCAAAATACATCTAAAGCATTTAGGACCTACTAGCTAATTAACAATCATCAAATTTAAATCAAAGCTCTTCAGTTTAAGAATTTCGATTTTATAAAAAGTTTCTCATTTAATTATGCTTTTGCAATATATTTTTCCATTTGGAGGCTTCTGACAAGATTACCCATCTACTGTAGTCTGTAGCAATTTTAGACTTATCCAGTTTATTGGTCATTGGTAAATTTGCAGCAAAGTATTGTTGTAAAAAGACAAACCTAGATCACAAGACTTTTGGAATATTTCAAACTATATTAATTACTATGAACTTACTCTGAGAACATGATAGCCTTCCATTCCTCCACCAGGAATTTCTACACTCTGAGAGCCACCCATTTCCCTAAAATGTAGGAGAGAACTTTAATAAATCCAGTTAAGTATTAGACTGTCATGTATATCAAGAATAGTAAACACGGACGGACGTGGCACTAACAACAGCACACGAGTCGAGTGTACACCGTACGTGTACATCTACGGGAAATATTGTGATATCAATGTTCATGACCTACGAGGCTTTCAACGGTACAATTAATAATTTGAAATCTGTCACACGTGCATACAATCATTTTGAATTTATATTTCGAAGAATTCTAATATGTAACAATAATAAATTGACAATGATGAAAGCCCGGCTTGGTCCATGCATTGTTCGATTTCTAATCCCCTAATTGATGTATTTCAATTTTTGTCTAATTTCCACATTATTTGCTTCTCTCTTTCACCATATTTACATTCTTGCTCCGGTTGTCGATCTTTCTTTAGACTAAGTATGAATCACGATTTATATAAGACTACATCGAGTTGGATTGGGCATCATAATAATCCCTGATATATGTCAACCACACATGCTTCCAAGCAATGAAATCACCAGATTTGATACCCATGTGATAGATTTTATCCAAGATAGACCAGGTAGAAAACTAATTTGATTCTTTTTGGGACGAATTTTTAGCGCTCTTCTTCCTTGCCTGACTCTGAAAATCTAAATAGATCTTGACATAACTATCAACCGGAACTCTTCATTTACAATCTGCTCCTACGCACGTTATCCGATTTTTTCAGTTTTATTTCTATTCAGCGCACTAGAGTCTAACTTTTAGCGCTCTCTGCACGCATAACAAACTTAGACTTTAGAGAGCTAATTAAGGACGAAGTGGACAAAAAACTCCTACGTTGCTTGAAGGAGCATATTGTTACTGTGAGTTTTGTTGTCAATTAGATAAAAATCCACCAGGTTTAATATCTAATAACTTCTTGTGTCTTTCGTCAGGATTCACAGAAACTATCAAAAAGAACGAATTGAGGATGCGGTCAAGGTACTGCGAACAGGCAAGTCCCAAGTACGCCGACACAACACTGACGCCTGTCCCAGTGTACAGGTGGTCAATGTTTCAGCTGCTGCAGCCCCTTCGGGTGGAGTTCTGTAGGCTCTGTAGGCTCGATACAGTAGCTGCTTCTCCGCTCTCCTCGTCTTCTGTCCAGGCAGTACCTCGCTGCTTCACCGCTCTCCTCGTCTTCTGTCCAGGCAGCACCTCGCTGCTTCGCCGCCCTGCATGCTGCTACAGCGAAGGCTGTGCCTGAGGCTGAGACGAGGGCACAGTCTTCGAACTTGCTCAAGTACACGTAGCGGCTTAAGTACACGTAGCGGCCTAAATACACTTAGCGGCCTAAATCCTCTTAGTACACGTAGCGGCCTAAATCCACTTTGCAGCTTAAGTACACGTAGCGACAGATTTCTCGTCTGTGATTGGTGGGTGTTACTTGAAAAACCGTCAGTGATTGGCTGACGTAGTTACGAACTCTTAACTTCTTTTGATGGTACGGACCCTGGGCTGCGTATTCGCAAGTCTAGCAAACGACAATGCGAAGAAAGGTGATTAACCCTCTACCGCCTGACACGAGTAACAGGAGCAATATTAGCGGTAATAATATATGCTAATATAATATAATAATATTAGTATTATTAATAATATTGGTAACCGGAGAAATATTGTCACAAACCAACGTCCCAAAAAGAATACGTTCTAGTGAGCGCAAAATGACTTGCACTGATGGTTGCCGCCACGTACGACAACTTTAAAATGTTCTCTGTTGCGTACAAACGTCCTCAGGTTGCTACACTCAATAGTTTACGCGTAATTTAAGTTGAAAGTTATGTTCCCGGAGAGTGACATACAGCAGTAGAGTGTTAAACATGATTACTGAATCAGAATTTATTTGTACTATTTCAGCACAGGTTCCACGCCAATAAAGATGTGAAAGTCAATATTTGAAGGAATCGGAGTGAATAAAATGTACAGTAACACAAACTTTTTGATTAATATGAATTCAAATTTGTGGGTAAGGCAGCTCCAGTTGTTAAGTAGGGAGTACCAGAATTGGACCAGTGAGATTCTGGTTCGATCCCAGCAAGCTGCTGTAATTTTTTCGATACAGCATTAATAACAAGCTAAATTCGGCTTATTCAACGCTGATCCAAATATTACTATTATATACTAATAATATGACTCAATGTCAAAATTTACTTAAGAAGTGACGATTAACTAAATTCTAATTAGACTAATCCTAAAATAGTCTCCACCTTTACCATTATAGTTAAGAAATGGCATTATTGTTAACAAATCTGTAACTATCATTATGTAGGAATTATTTTCCATTTTTTAGAGCTTTCAGCACTTTAGGTTTTATTTATTTCCGAGATTTATTCCATCATGAATATTTTAGAGGATAGACTATTATAAAGACAGGGTACAACGAGCTCGAGCCACAGAGAGATATAATTCGCTACAGGCTGACGGCTTAAATGCATTGACAGCAATTCATATCGTACACTTAGTGAACTTGATAGAATTTTTAATGTCTGAACGCCGGGAGATGTTTCTGAAGCTGCTTTTTGAACGCTGTTGCGTTGTAATTCATTATTAAATGATGCCAACGAGGCATTAATTAATGTGAATCTATACCACTATGAGAGCACAGTATCAATCTGAATGTAATTAAGAAAGTGAAAATGACAACTTGTCGTTAGAGGAGATATCGTTATGCAGGCGAGAGACAATTAGCAAATGAACTTCGGCTAAATTTTGGCAAACGCTTGTGGAGTTTGCGTTAAATACTTTGTATTTGCGTTAATATAAATATATACAAATACTTTGCATATGCGTTAAAGACCTAATGTTTGGATTAGGTTCTTACTGAGTTACATACACTATGGAACATTTCAAATTCCGAAATAATGCGCGAAGGGAACCAAAAAATGAAACGCAAGGAATAAACCTGAAAAATGACATCACCAACAATTTAGATATCACCAATAGATATCACCAATATCACCAATAGCCATTTGATTGTTTGAGTTTTATTGTCCGAAAAACATGGATTATTCGCAATAATTTCCTTTTTAATCTGATGCATTAGTTGCACATATCGCCACATATCTCTTCATCTTCATGTTTAGTACGAACGAAGACTCAATTTTGCGAAGTGCAATGCCAAAACCTGAGTACTATACGGCTGATGAGACTGTACATGAGTGGGACTATACATGAGTGGGACTATACATGAGTGGGACTATACATGAGTGGGACTATACATGATGGACTATACATGTGTGGGACTATACATGAGTGGGACTATACATGAGTGGGACTATACATGAGTGGGACTATACATGAGTGGGACTATACATGAGTGAGACTATACATGTGTGGGACTATACATGAGTGGGACTATACATGCTATACATGCTGTAACTTCTCTGTACATTGTTACTTGTATTCATAATAATATCTTTTATTTACGCCTGGCTATATTGGCGTATTTGCGTGTATGTTCACGCTTGTGTTGTTTATTGTTCAAGTTAAAAAGTTGCAGGAAAGCAGCGCCTATTTTATTTAAAGCACCTTTTTATATTCATTTCAGCGATCAATTTCATTACTCGATATTGTGATTTATGCAATAATATTGAGAGTCTAGGGGGGCATATTGACGGCTTGTCGCATAAATTGCATGTTTTCCATAAACCCAAACGTGTTTTCCCAACAAAAATATCGCGTGTTTTCCGAAATAATATATAATGATTTTAAATTACTTTAAAACCATTATTAATGAATTAATGATTAGTGACTTATGATCGTCATGACCTTACGATCGTTAAAACTGTTATTAATGTTTTAATGCTTTTTATATAAAATATAACATAATATATGTTATATATTATATCGCGGTTATTATATAACTTTATCGTGGAGATTTTGCTTGAACTTTATCGTGGAGAACTTACTTGAACTTTATCGTGGAGAACTTACTTGAACTTTATCGTGGACAACTTACATGAACTTTATCGTGGACAACTTACATGAACTTTATCGTGGAGGCCTTACATGAACTTTATCGTGGACTTTAAAGCTTTATGAGACGTTATATATAAAGCAAAATTATGCTAAAAAATCGAAGAATTTGGACCAGTGCGAGGTGCTGATTAAAAATTAATCTCAATTCATTCAGTACTGTTTTGTTAATAACCTTTGTAAGAGTTAGGCGTCGATTTTTTATTCATAGTAAATTCATTCACATTGAAAACTCGTTTACTAATAAATCTACTTCTATTTTATTATCAGCGACACAGGACGAAAGTATTTTATTTTTATTGGTGATATAACCTAATTATACTCCAGTTTACATAAATTAGGTACTCTATTTTAATACAGATGCTGAGGAACATAAGTCATGAAAGTGATATCTTTCGTGTATAATAGTCTTATACAAAATTTGATCAGCAGTCAAGAGTATTCAGTACAATAGTCCTGTACAAAATATCATCAGCAGTTAATAGTATTCAGTACAATAGTCTTGTACAAAATATCATCATTTAATAGTATTCAGTAGAATGAGTAAACTCCTTCATTCAGAGAAGTGAAGAGGAAGTTGTGGGTATGGACGTGAGTCATGGGGATATTCACCACGTTACTGGGGAGCCATGAGTAACCCTGAGATGAACATTCACAATCTTAACATTCCTGGAGAGGCAAGTACAGTCGTGTAAAGAACTCTCTTTGAACAGTTCCGGCCAAAAACTGTCTTTGTCTGTGACTGTTTTAACGAGAAATTTATACTTATGTTAAGCTGACTGTCACAATAATTTTTATTATTTAATTTCACATGTTCACTTGTCCTGTGCATTTTATAGTATTATGTACTGAAGGAAAGAGAGTACAGAACTTTTGTCAGCAGTTGTCTTCTTGAATGAACCTTGCAGGTAAACTAGCGTTCATCGCCTCGAAGGCTAAGCCTTTATCCATATTATCTAAACTAAAGCCTGGATTTTTAAGTCAAAAAATCACCCGTCAAACCGCAAAAAGAGATGTCATTTATGCTCTTGGTATATTTTTGGCTATATGCAGCTACTTTCAAAATAATGGTCAGTGCTCGAGGTCAGATGAAAACGGTCCAGCGTGA